CCCGCTCAGGAACTGCTCCCCGAAAAACGCGTCCTCCTGCCAGTGCTGCAGCACGTACTCTGCACCGGGGGACAGCGGGGACAGCGGGGACAGCTGGGGACACCTGGGGACACCTGGGGACACCTGGGGACACCTGGGGACAGCTGGGGACAGCTGGGGACACCTGGGGACACACCTGGGGACACCTGGGGACACCTGGGGACAGCTGGGGACAGCTGGGGACACCTGGGGACACACCTGGGGACAGCTGGGGACACACCTGGGGACACCTGGGGACACCTGGGGACAGCTGGGGACACCTGGGGACACACCTGGGGACAGCTGGGGACAGCTGGGGACACACCTGGGGACACCTGGGGACAGCTGGGGACAGCTGGGGACACAGCTGGGGACACACCTGGGGACAGCTGGGGCCCTCTGTCCTCATGTCCCCTCTGTCCCCATGTCCCTCTGTCCCGTGTCCCCATGTCCCACTGTCCCCCTGTTCCAATGTCCTGTGTCCCCTCTATCCCCTGTGTCACCATGTCCCCCGTCCCCATTGTCCCATTGTCCCCTGTCCCCAAAGCCCCCCATGTCCACCTGTCCCCCCTGTTCCTTCTGTCCCCCCAGTGTCCCCGTGTCCCCCTGTCCCCTCTGTCCCCATGTCCCCCTGTTCCCTGTGTCTCCCCGTCCCCCCTCTGTCCCGTGTCCGTGTGTCCGTGTGTCCGTGTGTCTGTGTGTCTGTGTGTCTGTGTGTCTGTGTGTGTGTCCATGTGTCCGTGTGTCCGTGTGTCTGTGTGTCTGTGTGTCCGTGTGTCTGTGTGTCTGTGTGTGTGTCCATGTGTCCGTGTGTCCGTGTGTCTGTGTGTCTGTCTGTCTGTGTGTCTGTCTGTCTGTGTGTCCCTGTGCGTGTGTCTGTGTGTGTGTCTGTGTGTCTGTGTGTCTGTGTGTCCCTGTGTGTGTCCGTGTGTCCGTGTGTCTGTGCGTGTGTGTGTGTCTGTGTGTGTGTCCGTGTGTGTGTCTGTGTGTGTGTCCGTGTGTCCGTCTGTGTCCGTGTGTCTGTGTGTCCGTCTGTCCGTGTGTGTGTCCGTGTGTCCGTGTGTCCGTGTGTGTGTCTGTGTGTCCGTGTGTCCGTGTGTCTGTGTGTGTGTCCGTGTGTCCATGTGTCCGTGTGTGTGTCTGTGTGTGTGTCCCGGTGTCTCCCGGTGTCCGTGTGTGTGTCCCGCTGTGTCCCGGTGTCCGGTTGTGTCCGGCTGTGCGGGTACCGGTGACGGGGGTGTGGAAGGAGCGGAACACTCGGGTCATGGCGTCCACGCTGGGCCAGGAGCTGGGCTGGGCCAGGAACCCCCGGAGCTTGGCCTCCAGGTTCCTGGGGACAGCATTGAGGGGGGGACAGCATTGGGGACACTGGGGACATTGGGGACATTGGGGACACTGGGGACATCGGGGACATCGGGGACATCGGGGACAT